ATTGAATATATTGAATGAAATCACTAAAATATCCCAAACAAGGAAATAAATATACATGCAAATATACAAATTATCATAGTCGTCAAATCGTGAATCGAAATTGTCTTTTCCGAATTGTGAATCGAATCGTACATTCTAAAGATTCAGGCATAATTTCTAATTTACATAGTATAAAATTATTGTGCATTTAGATATTAAACATATGTTATATATATATGAAAATTTTAAACTCGAATCAATGAAAATATTGTTTTGAATGATGATCATGTCGTCGGTTATGACATGATTTATGCTGATTCACATCATAGACGTACGATGTACATACATACATGGATTAGAAGTAAGCCAGAATCCAAGATTCATCATAAATTAAGAAAACATGGACGCAATAGTCCCATGAAATATCACCACCTTACCTTTTTTCCTTTCAAGTTTTTCTTATCAACAATTCTTAACAAATCAAAAGAAAACAAAACAAACCCAAACTCTCAATTTCCAAGCAACAATAACTCAATAACAAAAAAAAATCACAAGTAATAAAGAAGCTCACCTCAAAGGGGTAAACTACCCAAATTCTCAAAAACATCTCAAAAATGCCTTCAAAAGATTCTTTTTGTAAATGCAAACACTTGGATGAAGTTCAAATGTAAGCCAAAAATATTGTAGAGAGAAAATATGTTTTTCCATGGTTTGAGTCTATGAAAGGAAGATAACGAATGGAATATAACCCTACAGACCTTAAAAAGGTTGTTTAACAGGGTTGTTTTCTAGCAATAAATAAACCCAAAAATCAGATTCAGCGAATAAAAAGTGAATTGATTGATTCACGATTCAACAATTCATCCACAATTCATAGTTATTTGCTATTCATGTAACCTATTCATATCAATTTTCCAATGACTCGTATTGAATTGTATGATTTGAATGCAAATTGTGCGATTCTAATAACAGAGCAAATGATAATGATTCAACATTTGAACAGTTCAACTGCAGGAAAAGTATTGCCCTATCACTCTAGGCGCAGAATAACAGTGAGATGGTGCAAATGCAGGTCAATAATAAGAGTAAGACGTATGCATACACCAAGGGAACAAGAGAAAAAAGTAACGTATTGAATACAGAAAAAATAAATTGTCCCATCTCAGCCCGCTAAGCATGATGTGAAAATGCTAAATATTCAATTCTCTGCAACACAGAAATGATCTTAGACAGCAAAATCTGTAGTCAATCAATCTACTTTAAACAAAATAATGAAGCTCAGACTAACTACACTGATTATCAGTAAAAATACTCTGCTATACTTATAACATACATCCACAGTTCAAAAAATCTAAATATATTTTTGCCTTTCCTATTAAAATACAAAATTTTTATGTAGGGAGCAAACAGGCATGGGTTGGCAGATTCGCACGCTAATAAGCCTAGGAGAGTAAAACGAGAAGAATAATAAACAATAATGGCTCTTCAAGCGAAATTTTCTATTTTCTTGCACCATCTTAAAAAATAGTGCCCTTCCCAATCCCAAGAATAAAAAAAATTAGAGGAATATAGTGAGAGCTTAAGTAATAGAATTTGTCAAATTGATGTATCCTTGTTGTCTCTCTCACTTCTCTCTCGCTTTCTCACTCTCTCACGTTTCTTCTCTCTGCTCTCATTCTTTTTTTGGTGTTGGCATGTAAGGATGATGCTTAATTTGCATTTGCATTTGCTTTTTCTTTTAGTTTTAGATGTTTTATGAATGTTTGAGCACTTTTAGGTTAATAGGGATCCCTCTCTTTATTTATTAATTTATTTTAAGTTTTATTTTCATGCATATTACATTATTAAAATTATATAAAAAAAAAATTTATGAATGTATCCCCGCTGTACCCGTATCATACTTTTTCAAATTTTGACATATCGCCATATCCACATCCCCATATCACCATATTCGTATCCGTGCTTCCTAGGCTATCATTGATGACTTAAAAAAGTATATTTGCTGAAATTTTTATTTAAGAATGGTTTTTTGGCTTTGGCTTTAGCTGATGAAGGAAAACAAGTTGAAGCTATTGACCTTGAAGACTCTTAGTTTTGTAGGAATCTTTCTTCTTTATCAAGTTGTCTTTTGCTTTAAGTTCTATTTTTATGCATACTGCATTACTAAAAATTGTTAAAATAATATTTTTTACGAACGTATCCCCGCCGTACCCGTATCCTAGTTTTTTAAATTTTGTCGTATCGCCGTATCGTATCGTATCCGTATCCGTATCCCGTATCCGTGTCCGTGTCCGTGTCCGTGCTTCCTAGATAATAAGAGTAAGACGTATGCATACACCAAGGGAACAAGAGAAAAAAGTAATGTATTGAATACAGAAAAAATAAATTGTCCCATCTCAGCCAGCTAAACATGATGTGAAAATGCTAAATATTCAATTCTCTGCAACACAGAAATGATCTTAGACAGCAAAATCTATAGTCAATCAATCTCCTTTAAACAAAATAATGAAGCTCAGACTAACTACACTGATTATCAGTAAAAATACTCTGCTATACTTATAACATACATCCAAAGTTCAAAAAATCTAAATATATTTTTGCCTTTCCTATTAAAATACAAAATTTTTATGTAGGGAGCAAACAGGCATGGGTTGGCAGATTGGCACGCTAATAAGCCTAGGAGAGTAAAACGAGAAGAATAATAAACAATAACGGCTCTTCAAGCGAAATTTTCTATTTTCTTGCACCATCTTAAAAAATAGTGCCCTTCCCAATCCCAAGAATAAGAAAAATTAGATAAAATGGCCATTCGGTGCTACAAATTAAAGGTTATCATCTGTTACAAGAATCTGGACCACAAATTATATTCCTCAAATCCATGAGAAACTCTCACATTGTCTACTTTGCTGTCACTACTCTCTACATTATGGCACCTGCACAACAGATGAGATAGATACTACAAGCTGCTATAAGGACTGATAATTGAAAGGTAAATCATCATGACAGGAAATGCTATGCTTTGGAGAAAAATTATGTTTGAATAAAAGTAACTTAAAAAGGAGGCAAGCTTCAAATTCTTAACATTCTGCTGGAAGAGGCTGACACTATAAGAGAAACAGATGTGCTGTATTGATTCATGTTCCTAGATTGAATGGGAATTCTTATGTGTTGGCTATCAGGCAACCTAACATACAACCAGGGACGGGCGTAGGATTCTAAACTCAGGGGAGCAAACATATATATCTAACCCAAAAAAAAGTGTTTCGTGTAGTTTAGTCATGGCAATTTTCATTATTGAAGTTGTGCATTTTGTTGTCGCCACAGAAACAAGTAAAATTAGATCAAGACCAACCAATCTATTGATAAGAGGAAAAATTGTCAACTTTTTTGTTTTCAAAAACACTTTGCACAACTCAAAAATTATTAACTTTTTTTGAAACTCAAGATATCTACGGATGTCAATCTCATAGTTTTGCAACTGAAACAGCAAATGCAAATTTAATTTATTTTCAAGTTTTGCAAATATCTTTAATTTTAAAAGACCTATAACTATTCCTAGGATCTAACGCATAACTAAGAACCAACAACTCCATCACAGCCTCCTTAAATCAGTTGTTTAATTCTTGTAATTGAGTTTCACATGTAACTATAAAAATATCAAACTAAAAATGAAGCTCAATACTAATGTGATCTCTTTAATGACGAGCATGACCTCCGTCGAGCATAAGATCTCAAAACAAAATAAGAAAAAAAGAGAGAGAGCAGAGATAGAGAAATAAGAAGAAGAGGGAGGATTGAAAGCAAAAGAAATTTTGAAATAGAGATGAAGAGGGGGGAAAAACTGAAAATGGAGATTACCTATGTTGAAGAGAGAATTGAGAAAAAACGAAAAAGAAAAGGAAAAAACAAAGACAAAAGAAGAACAAAAAAAAAAGGGTACTTATGCAAATCATCAACAACCAAATGCTTCAAAATTGGCTCAACTATCTTTAATGCCTCCACTAATTTTCCTTGATCTCCTCAATTTGGAAATAACCGAAACAAAGAAGAACAATAAGATGCAGAGAGAGGGAAACAAACTTGGAGCTAAAGAGTGAAGATTAAAACATATTAAATTTCTCAAAAAAATCTTGGAGGGACGAGCCTATATAATTTATAAATATTCATAACTAATATCACTATATTTAAGAAGTTTTTTCGAAACTTTGGGGTGGTGGTTGCCCCTGCTAGCCCCCTCTCAGTCCGCCCTTGCACACAACCCTACTCCTCTATCTGGGTTTGGGACTGTCTGTAGAAGGATTAGACACTAAAGCACAACAGAGTCAGAGTTAGACAGATGTGCTGTATAGGTTAAAGAGAATTTGAATATTAGTTCCCACTGCATTTCTTATACTGTAATAATATAAAATTTTCATCAGCAATCTGATGTATTCCTCAAATTTTTTATTTCCACACCTAGGTAGTAATCCATGAAAACCAATACAGTAGCATTTCACACCAATACAGTGTAGCATAGTTTACACTTAGCAGCAATTACTTAGCATCTTGCATCTTGTTAATGAAGGCAAATAAATGTATAAAAATTGCATTAAAGTATACACTTAAATCAGTGTAGCAATAGTCCAATCATCCAAAAATGGTAAGCTGCATATATTCATCATTTATGTTACTGAGGCTGGAATGCTTTCTCCTTTTCCCTTCATTCTTGTTTTACAATACATTTTTTATGGGCCAGAGTAGAGATGGGCAATTGATTACAGACAGCTAAAATGTTTATTGGTCCTGAAGTATTCTTATTCTATAGTGGAATCATAAACTTTCTTACTCAAAATGCAGCAGTCATTAATCAACTTTGAATTTCTATATCTCAGACTACAACACATGCACCACATTAGTCATCACATCAATTGAGACAATTTTGAAAATGTTGCTATTGACGAGTAAAAAGGATCCCAATGTCAAAGATGTAAACCACACAGCTTTGATTACACCTCCTAGAATATCAATACAACAGATGTTACCTTGATCCGTTCATATTCTCTGACTGCACAACTTTTAGCATCCTCAGTGACTCTAACAGTTGCTTTCAGCTCTTCTATTTTGCGAATTCTTGCCCTGTCTCCACCAAATATTTTCGATGCAGCAGCTTCAAGCTTTTCAATCTTTGAATGCAATGCAGATAGCTCCGATAAAAGTGTCTGTACTGTCAGCAAAGCACTTGATCTGTCCGTAAATGCATTGTTGACAGCTAACATCACACCGAGATATTCATGGAGCTTAGCCTGCAATGCATATGGCATAAGTAAGAGCACAAAAAACTGCAACAAGATTTTCCTTCAACGACAGAAGACAGTGGACCAAAATTTTTACTCTTGTTCACTACAATAAACAATTTTTAAAGAATACCCCTAGAAGGAAAAAGTCGTCAAGAAGCTTTGATTACTTTGACAGTTATAGACCACCTACATTGAATAAGTTATTTTTTTCCCCTGATAAGTACGATGAATATAAAAGTACATTAATAAAAAATTAGCAAAATTCGTCCACTTCACCAAATGTTTGACTGTTTGTGCATTTAATTCTCGAAATAATCTGCTAGCTTTCACAGCGGCAGTTGCGACATTTTTCATGTCAGAAGCTCTATCTCTTTGAGAGTTATACACAGCTTCTTCTGTCTCAAACTTTGTCAATTTGACAAATGCCAAACCCAATTCCCCCATTGTCTCTCCAATGTCTTGCTGAGCTTTGACAAGTGATTCAGCCTGCAAAATAAATAGAAATGACAAAGTTCTGAGTTGTGAACAAATTTCCTATCAGAATTCTTAATATTTGCATTACAATGATTGTAAGTAAGTAAAACAGTTATCCTATATGTGTGAATGATATACACTAAGAGCCCTAATAAATGAACAGTTCGGGCCCTTGAATCCAGTCCAGACGAGGACTGGAGAGAAGCCTCTCCCTATCTATAACCCACTAAAACAGGTAAAATTAAAAGGGTCATCATTATGGAAGTACATATGCAAATCATCAACAACCAAATGCTTCAAAATTGGCTCAACTATCTTTAATGCCTCCACTAATTTTCCTTGATCTCCTCAATTTCCTACCTAAATGGTTACACATCCATATGAGTAAAGCTTCACCCTTCAAGACACATACCTCATTTTAAACTACCCATAATAGATTAACCAAGCATATAAATGTGCATTTAACTAAATAAGATAAACTGACCTGCTGAGACACATTACTAAGCTGCTGCTCAAAATCCTGCAACTTCTCTCTCTTCTCCAAGAACTCCTTATCTTCCTCCACCATCGGAGGCTTGGTCGCGCCCCAATCATTAGTAACTGATTGCTTCAACTCCTTAAGGATCCTCAACAAGTCTCTTCCCCCTTTCGCCGGCTGCACCACCTCATTCGGATCCACCATTCCCACAGACTCCCCAAAAAGCTGCCGCGGAAGCTTCACCGCCCCGTCTAACATCCTCGACGCCACATCAGTGGACCTCACCAATGGCAGCTTCCCTTCCACCTGCAAAAACAATCTCAATTCGTCGCTCCGCTTGATCACCGGATGAGCAGCGAGTCTTCGCAAGTACTTCTCCAATGCATCCCTCCTCTGCTCCACAAAATCTTGCTTCTGCATCACTTGACTCTCCACCACACTCTTGTCCGGCCTAATCGGAATGAAAAACCCTCGATACGACTCCGATAATCGATCCGACAACGTCACGACCTCTTTGAATCGCCTCCGGACGCTGAATTCAGCTCCACCGAAGTGCGGCAAGTTCGTTCTCGTGGTGATTAGATAAGTATAGTAGGTGTTGGAACCAGGAACAAGCGAATTCGAGAGCTCTTGCTCTTTCTGGGGATCGGAGACGGAGATCCTTATATAGTCAGACCTCGATAACGGCGATGAAGACGAATGTTCTCCGGAGCTATCGTGGCCGTTGATGTCGCCGTTGATGGTGTGGTCTCCGTCGAAGGATCTGAAGATGGCGTCGGCGTAGGAAGGGGGTTCGAGGATGGAGTTGAAAGCGAAGCTAGGGCTTTGAGGCTGAAAAGGCGATGATGGAGAAGAGTGTGGGGGATCATCATCGGTGGCGATCTCAGCGACGGGGGGGAGGGATGATGGGGATAGGGGGTGGTGGTGGGGAGATTCTCCGCCGCCGGCGGTGGTGGTGGTGGATGGGTCGTCGAGGACGAGACTCTCCATATCTTCCGGGGATGTGTAGAGGTGGGTTTCTTCGTTCTCATAGCCCATCATTGTGTATCAAATTTTGTATAACAAAAACAAGGGGAGAATCAAAACAGGGGGAAATGGGGTTTGGGAATCATGGTTTGGGAGAAGGGAGGGTGGAGCATATTAGATCGGTGTGGGGACTTTGCGTCGAAGCCAACTTACGCCGTGGGTGATGGGGTAGTCTTCTCTGCAAGGAAGAAGAAAGATGAAGAATTGGAAAGAAAGGGGCGAGTATGTGGCATCAGGCTTTGGCATAACACGGCTTGCGCCGACTCGTGACTCGCGTGCTCGTGCTGGGTTGTACATATATATTTTTTATTTTCATATATTATTAATTATATCGAACTTGGGGAGGCAGTTCCTGCCTCCACCCCACCTCCGTCGTCGGTGACCAAAACGACTGTGATTCAAACTCCCAATTGAAGGTGGCCCCAATACCCCACATATAAGTGGGGGCCAGCAATAGGAGGATACAAAAAATATATATATATATGAACCAATGTGATTCAAACTCTCAATTGAAGGTTACCCCACATATAAGTGGGGGCCAGCAATAGGAGGATACAAAAAATATATATATATATGAACCAATTAGAATTTACTGGGGGTGGTGGGAGTCACTCCCAGTGGGGGTCTTACTCTTTTTCCGTGACCAAAATATAGTTCACTCTCGCTCCATATAAGTGTCGGGTTAGATAAAATTCGTCCTGTTCAAATAGGCATAGACGAACCGTTACGAATCGAATTAAAATGATCATTCCTAAATGAATCTCTCGTGTATACTAGATACGATGTTGTCTTATTCAAATCGCCAAACACTTTTTTATAAATTTTTTGTCACCAACAATGTCCATATTTTGCACCTACAAATATATACACGTAAAAAGTGACAGGATCTATATCATTAAGTATTTAACTAATTAAAAACTAACACTTGTTAGGTTGTATCATTATGGGTTGAATTGTGAAAAATTTATGATGGTCTCAAACATTTTCCTTTTGTTACCATTGCGATCATCTCCCACATTTTTCATCTAATTCAATGTTAAACTTGTGTAAAAAAATTGATTTGATATGAATTATTTTAATTTTTTTATCAAAATTTTTTTAATTTCTTTATTCTTATTTCAAAATTTTCTTTTTTTAAAATTTGATTAAAAAATCATTTTTAGTGCTACATCTTTTTAATTTTTATCTAGTTCAAATTTCATCCAATATTTGATAATAAAAAATTAGTCTCTTTTTGAAAATTATTTTTAAATATTTTTTTTATCAAATTTAAATTTAATATAAAAAAAATGTGAAAGATTAGAGATATTATGTGGGGGAGTAAGAGTAATTAAACATTAACTCTTTAAATACCTCTTGTGTATATACGACCATACAATTTGATTCATACGCGAAATTAGTAAATTAGAATTGACTATTTTTTTTTATATAAACACATATATTATATGATTTGATAATATGAATATTAAAAAAGTCGGATTAGTATCAAACTTAACATAAAGTTCACACAAATAACTAGTTTAATGAATAATTAGTTACACATTTTAATATTATTTTTAGAATAAATTATAAATATTCCCCATAAAGTCTGTTCAAAATACGAATTGTCCCTGTAATTTGAAAAATTATAAATAACTCCTTTTCAGAATTTTTTATTTAACAGAATTAACTAAAGAAATGAAATTATTAATTATTCTCCTATATAATAATAAAATTACTTGAATTGCTAATTGAAATAAATTTTTGACATCATTAAAAACTGTTAATTGACTTGATGATTTAGTAATAAAATGGGCTATTTATTATTAAATTGGAAACTTCAAGGGACGAGATGTAATTTGTAGAATTACCGTGATAATTCATATTTTAAACAAATTTCAGAAATGTATTTATAATTTACTATTATTTTTACTAATGATTTCCATGACATGACATTTTTTAATATGTTATGCAACTCTATCTAACTTATTAAAAAAATATATAAAATAAGATTTTAAAATCAATATAAATTTTGTTAATGTGGGTGTTTAGGAAGTGGGTTTTTTTAGTTGTATGATATTATTGGAGAAAAGTTTGTGAAGATAGTTGGATTTTTTTGTGGTTTGATGTGATGTTGTGAGAAAAAAAGTGAAATGATTATGGAGTTTGATGTGATATTTTATTTGGATGTGTTTTTTTTTTTTTGTAACCAATTTGTCTTTTAGTGAAAAAAAACTTAAAAAATTTGTTCCCAAACACCAACCTTGATAATGTATTTGTTGTTTATTATTTGAGTTAATCTAGTAAAAAAATATAGGATAAAAGAAATTTTAGTCCTTAAAGTATTCGTTCTTTTTCATTTTAGTCCCTTGAGTATTAATTTTATCATTTTGATCCTCAAAATTGTCAATTTGAGTCAATTTGGGTCAATTTAGTCTTAGTTCTACCATTCGTCTGCATTGATACCGTGAACAATATGGATAAAGGATAATTTTAGCCCCTAAAGTATGCGTTTCTTGTCATTTTAGTCTGTTACGTTTTAATTTTTGTCGTTTTAGTCCTCAAAAAATGTCAATTTGGTCCTAACTCTAATCATATTATATCACATGTCTATTTACCTTAAATATATACTCTATTATACTGTATCACCATGCATAACAATCTAAATTATTTTAATATCATCCAATGACTAATAATTTATTTATATATATATATATATCTAATATTTTGATATGTTTATGGCATTGTTTGGAAAATTGATTATTTTAGTTGACTATTTTAACCTAGCTAAAATAGTTATGTTTGGAAAGTTGATTGACTTTTTTTTTAATTGATTTGAAAAAGAAAAAAAAAAGTGAAATGATTATGGGTTGGATAGGGGTGGGCGCGGGTCGGTTGCGGTCACAATACCTCCAATCCGTCATCTGTCTGCCAGATTGGCGGATTGGAGAAAATTAATCTGCATCTGTCCGCCAATCTGACAGATATGGATTAAGCAGATTGGCAGATGGATGCGAATTAGTTTGGCAGTTTAAAATTTATAAATTTTTAACATAATTCAACTTGTGCACTTCCTTAAAAAAAGAATTATTACAGTCAATGACTTAAAAAAGTATTTCAATAACTGCATGCCCCATCCAAAGAAATAAAGTTTGAAACTTTAGAATATTAAAATCATTATAATTCTCATCCACATATTATAATCACAGCGTGCCTCATCCACATAAAGTATTACAATTAAAATATAAAAATAATTCAAACCACCAAAATCATGAACAAAGCTGTAGTAGAGATTGTATGCCTTTGTATTGTTACATCTATATCTGTTTTTAAAAATAAAAACCAACCAACATATATCATCTATTTTATTTATTATTTTTAGAGTTAGATTTAAAAATCAAAAAACATAGATAAATAATACATATATTTTTTTCAGTTCAAAAAATATATTTAAGTTGAAAAATCTTTTTCAATAAAATATTTAAACTCTTTTTTAATTGAAAATACAAATAGAATATCTAAACACATTGAAAACACAAAGTTTTACAAATTACTAGGGGTGCTCACGATTTGGCGGTTCAGTTGCGGTCAAAGGAACCTCAAATCCGCCAGCTATCTAAAACTAGGCGGATTTGAAAAAATCAATCCGCAACTGTCCGCTCGTCATCACGCATCCGTCTAAAATGCAGCGGATCGGTTTGGACAGATCGGTATATCTATTGCTCACACCTTTAGATGTAACATTTTATCTTATTAACTATTTTAATCTATTTTGTCTTTTAGTGAACTATTTTACCCCAAACCTCTTCCCAAACACCCCTTATTTATAGGGTAAATTACATCAAATCCCCTCAAACTATGAACCATTTACACTTTATTCCCCTAATATTTTAAACCTAACAATTACCCCCAAACTATTTGAATTTGAAATCAACTTCACGTATTTAATGACAACACGAAAATTACTTCTTTGCCTCAGCACAACCAATACAATAGCTACAAAGTATTGACAAAATATCTAGCATATTAATATATAGCAACCAGTTTACAATTTGTATATCATCACTAACTTTCTACATCTCTTTGGTCTTGTTTAAGGACAGATTATTTTAATAATTTTTTAATTTTTTATAAAAAAGATATAAAAAAAATAAAGAAAGTGATGTGACAATTTATAATAATTTTTTTGACTTTATAACTAAAATGTATAATTGACAAACAAAGCTTTAGTTTAATTTTTTCTAATTTTTCTATCTTTCTTTAAATCAGAGTGATCCTTCTTTGCATTTTATCAGCTCTTTGCATGTCACTACTTGTCTGTGAACCACCATTCTTAATAGCTCTTCTCAACTCTATATTCTTCCTCAACAACATAGCACTAAACTCCTCCCCTCTTTGACAAGTAGGGGATCATACCAGCAAAAGAATCCACAAGATAGGTTTGCCTAAGAACAAAAAAAAAACGTAAATTAAATTAACAACAAAACCTATAGTTTTAACAATAAAATTTGAAAGGAAAAAAAAAATAGACCAAAACCTTAAAATTCAACCCTACTTTAAATTTGAACACCAATAAAACCTTCTAGCTTGATTTTTTCTATTAAAGAAATCCTTAATGGTGACTTTTCTCCAGAATAGCAAACAATCCCCAAATCTCCATTGTAAAACCCTTCGCTAGAACTGAATCATCCACTTTTCACATATGGCGAGAGAAGGTGATGTTGGTCGGAGCTCTTGATGGGTAGCGTTGGTCGAAGCTCTTGGTCAGTGATGTTGGTCGGCAACGTTGATGAAGTGTAACTTTTGTAGTTGCTGAAGATGACCACAGAGTGGTCTGTTGTGTGCACATATATAAATGTATATATATCGACACTTGTATATATATATTTATGGGGAAATTCTATGTACCATATACACCTTACTGTATACTTTTGTGGTGTTAAAGCATCTCCAACGGTTCATCAGAATTTTCATCAAATTTGAGTAAGAAAAAGACAAATTTCTCTATCTGATATCGCCTACTCCAACAGAAGAATTTGATTTTTTCATCAAATCACCGGTCGACCGAGCAGACGATCGGTTGGTCAACTGGCCTGCCGGTCGACCAGTCCATGCAAAATCTGCAAACCATTGTTTATGCACTTGTACGGGAAAGAAATAAACCTTCTCGTATAATCCTGTTGATCAAGTCCGCGTTCCTTCAAACGTCGTCGCTTTACTCTCTGAAAACACAAACGTGAACTAGCCGGCGAGTGTGTGCTGGAAACCCCTCCGATGCCTAAGTCAGCAAAATAGACAAATAGAC